CTCTAGTAAATTCTCCAGCTCCAAGGGTGAGTGGTTGTTGTTGTCCAATAACTTCAAGTCCATCAGAACGAGGGACTAATTGGATCATAATATTTTGTAAAGTGCTTTGAGACTGATTAACAATAAGTGTGTCTATAGCAATATCAAATTGAGATAATTCTAAACTTGCTTCAACATATAAAGGATCAGAATATCCACTTAATTGGATAATATTTCTAAATGTCATTAAATTCTTTTCTTCATTTTCTGCAATAGTTGGTATTTCACTTTCTTCATTAAACATACCAAAACTTACTTCATCATCAACTTGAATAATATCTTTCTTCATAACAATAACTTCTTTTTTTATTTCAGGTTCTGCTAACGCAGCTTCAGTTAATTTCTCATTTTTTGTAGTTATACAAGTAATACCTTGTCTGATTTTTCCAATTAAATCACTTCCTTTTTGTGTTTTTAATAATTTTAATAAACATTGTAATCCTTTAGCAGTAATCTCATGTTGTTTTGTTGGTTCAAATAATGTATTTCCTTTCAAAACTAATTTAACAATAGATGAAATATAAGTTCCAGAAAGGATATGACTCTTATCTTCTTCTAATAATATACTTTTTCCTTCTTCATTAAACATTAACTCATATAACTTGTTAAAACTTGTTAAAACTTCTTCTTTAGTATATGAAAATCGAGAAAGAATCCATATAATTTCTACAAGAAGTTGAGGTGTTTTAATAGAATGAATAATGTCATATAATGGTTGTAATATAAAAGAATTTTTATTATTTGTATTATTTGAATTTAACAAAATGTTTCTAACAAATAATAAAATCTCTTTAGAAACAGAAATAGAGTTAGTTGTTTGCATTATATCTAATAATACAGGAATAATAGACTCACAAGTAAATTTGTTATTACATTCTTTAATAGCTTGAAGTATAGCCAATTGGTATTGTTCATCTTCTTCTCTTTGTAATTCTTTTCTTAAAGTATTAATAACTTCATTAATAGTTTTAGAAGTAACACATTTAACAACTATTTGAGCAACTTTAGATCGAACATATGAACTATTACATTGAAATCCTCTTAACATATCAATTTCCAATTCATTCATTAGTCTTGGTGTTTTATGAATTTGTTGTTCTATTCTTTGAAGAATAGAAATTTTAACATTAACATCACTTGACTTCACAACAATATCAATCAAACTCCTAATAGCTGCTTTTACTACTGAAGGTGAAGAAGAAACAACTAACATACAAAGGGATGCTTCTAATGAAACAGCAGTTGATGGACTTTGAATTAAAGAAGCACAAATAGAAAGATAAGTTGTAGAACTCTCTGGAGTAGAACGAGAAACAGATTTAATAAGATGTAATAACTCAAGTTGAATATCTTCTTTATAGGTACTTATTTGTTCGGACTTTTTAATTACATAACGTACCGCAGCAGATAAATCTACATACATTAATGCTCTTAAAGCACTACATTTTACTGAAGTAATGCTTTCTTCATTAACTGCCGTACAAATTAGTTTTGAAGCATTTGGAACTAAATCTGGATATAATCGATAAATATGACAAATAGCAGAAAAGCAATGTTTACGAACAAGAGGACTTTTTGAATTAATATTATTAATTACTGCATGAGTAAGTGGTTGAATAAGTTCTTTTTCTGAAATAGTTAAAATAAATTTTAAAGTCAATGCACGAATATATTCATTTGGATAATTTAAATCATTTTGTAATGAATTAATAACAAGAACTAATTCCGATAATAATTTTCCTTGCTCATCAACACGTTTAATACATGATAAATACATTAAAAATAATCTTTTTACAGTATGATCAGTTGATGGTAAAGCATAACTGATAACATTCATCAACATATCTGTGTGTTGTTCTCCATCTAATTCTGCAGAAATTAGTTGTTGTAAAGCCTCACTTTTAGATATATCATCTTTTTGTAAAAGATTAAGAATTTCGTCACTTCTAAATGTGATATAATTATTGAAAATCTGATATGTTTGTTGCATCCCTTAAAAATCTAAATGATTTTCAAGTTTTAACAAAAACTTTAATTTAATTTTTTTCATATAAAAGTATAGTTTATCTATTTAATTACTATACTTTATTAATAAAATATTATAAAAACATAATATATTAAAAAATAATAAAGCATTACTCAACAATTCAATCATCGAAACAAGTCTAATGCACTTCTTTCTGCTATTGGTTTTATTTGTGGCTTTTTCTTATCAGTTCTTTTTGGTTTTGCTCTTGTTTTTGGTGCAAATAACTCCATTCTTTTCTTAAGAACTTCCCTACGGTGTTGTTTTATTTTAGAAGTTTTAGCAGCTTCATCTTTTAGTCCTTCAAGGAATTCTTCTCTAATCTTCAAATGGTCTTTCTCTACAACATGACCAATGAGATTAGGATTCAAAGTAATCATATCAGCAGGAATTTTATCAAGTAATTTTTGAACTTCACTCTCTTTATAACTCTTTTGTGATTCATAAATATTATTTTCAAATGTATCAACAACTGCACTACCTGAACCTGGAATTGGAATAGTAGATACTCCATTATATCTACCAATTGCAATAAAATCTTCAAATGGACAAAACTCACAAGATGTAATCATATCACGATGTGTTTCTCCAGGACGTTGTACATTAATTTTATTAAGTTTTTCATCAAATATTTCAACAATATTTCCTCTTCCAACTGCTAATAAATTTCTCTGAGAATAATTTAATGATGTTACATCACTAAAGCCAGTCATCGTCATGTGAGTGTCTTCTACCATCATTCTTAAATCTGTGAATCTTAAAGTTCCATCTTCACTTGATGAAGCAAGATATTTTCCATCTCGAGTTACTGCTAAACCTGTAATAGCTGCTTTATGGAAACCTAACCCAACAACAGCATTAGCCATATTTGGTGTCCACATGGTAATTGCACCAGTTACATGTCCATTAATAATAACTGCATTATATGGGTTTTGAATCATTGTTGTTGTTAAACTAGAAAGTGGATGTTGAGCCATCAATTCACCAGTAGATATATCAAGATATTTTAATTTAGGTTTGGTTTCTACACAATTAACAGAAAGTAAGAAATGATATGGTAAGAAATCCAATTGACGAGGTTTAGGAAAATCAAATAATGAGTGGATGTCAGTTGCTTTATCATCGTAAATATGAAGTCTTTTTTCTTGAGCTACAGCAAATAATTTAAATGTATGGAAAAAATGCATTCCATAACATTGTTCTTCAACATGAAATTCATTTATTAATTTTTGTGTTTTCCATTCAAGAATTCCAATATGACCTTTTCTACCACAAATACCTAAATGAACACCATTGCCTGTAAAATTAGTTGAATAAGGACCATATTCTAATTGTAACGAAAATATTTTTGCTTTAGTTTGTTGGTCTAGATATGGAAGAACATCTGAAATATTATAATCCATATAACCTGATTGTTTGGTTTCTTCTGGTTGTAAATAATTTTCTGCTCTTATTTTTTGTTCTCTACCTTTTACTAGAACCTCTCTTCTTTTATCATTTTTTATTTCGTTTATTGTTTTTATTTTAGGACGTTGTTTTATTGATATACCATCCTTTTCTTCTTGTTCTTTAGGCAGTTTAGAATCACTAGGTTTTTTATTCATTGAATGACACTTTTATTATTTTTTTTTTGTTTTTTTTAAATAATTAATTTTATTATTAATTATATTATTAATTATATTAGTTATAATATAAAAAAACAAAAAAGTTTTTTAATTGAATAATTCGTAATGAAACAAATAGGTCAATACAATTTTAATGGCAATAGCACGTGTTGTTTTCTTCCTTTTTCTTTCAATACTAACTTACAAACAAATCACCCTGATTATTTTATACAACGACTATGTGATAAACACAATGACTGTGTATTTACCTCTATTCGTGGAGTACCACTTCATGGAAAAGAATTAGATGTACAAACAATTATATTTGATGAAGGTTATTTTACCATTGATGAACACCCACTTTTTTTCAGTTATGAACAACCACCTTCAAAACGTGATGCACCATTTTGTGAAATAGAAACCATAGAATTAATGAACATTGTTTGTTTTTATTAAATAAATTTTTTAGCTAACAATTAATACTTTAGATAAATACTCCAATTAACTTTCCATCTAAAAGAAATTCTATGAATTAAATGTATTTGTAATATCAACACAAAATTATAGAATCAAAATAATAAGAGAAATAAAATAATAAAATTATTTATAACCTTTTATCTAATAGTTTGATATTCTATTCTCTGAAAAACAAAATATAAAAATAAGAAATTGTTTTGATTTTTTGTACATTTGTTCAACTCTAAGACTTAATAAAATAAAAAACTTCTTTTTATAACAAAAAATTCTCTTTAAATTTCATATTTTGTAATTTTAATAAATTTAAAAATAAATCTTTATTCAAATTGAAATAGAATTTCTAATTTTAAAAAGAAGTTTTTTTTAAAAAAAGGTGAATTAATGATTTTTACATTTTGTGTTTGAATTAAAAAGTAAAGTTTAAATTTTCATTATAAAAAACTCCAAAAACAAGGAAGATTTAAAAGATTCTTTTTGTTGAGAAAGAAAAAAAAAATATGAGTGGTTTTGTAGGTAAAAGAAAAGGAATTTAAGAATTTTGAAGAGAAAAACACCCAACAAAATAATTATTTGACAGACTTGCGTTAGTTTATGTGATGGAAAACATTAGTAATAAAGCCAAATAAACTCAAGAATCACAAAAATGTTAACATTATTTGTAAAAATAGAAAAAAAAATTCCATCATAAAGAAAGCAACAAAAAACTAATTAAAAGATTTTTTAAAATAGAAGTGTTGAATAAAATTGGTTATTTCATTTAATTTATTGTCAAATAGAATCTACGTAACTTTTGAATTCAATTTGAAAACTCCCAAATTTTCATCTCATTAATAAGAAGATTTAAACTCATCGTTATGACAAAAATCAATAGCACTTCTTCCAAATTTCAATCAGTTAATAGAAATCTTTCTGTTGATAGAGAAAGAATTTCTAATGCCTGTGTAATTGGGTTATTTGTTGTTCTTGGTAATTCAGTTACAGTAAAACTTCCTTCCAAGAAATCAAAAAATACACTGGCACATCTTTCTATTGCCAGTACATGTCTTAATGGCAAAGAAATAAATGAAATTGTTCAAGAACAATATAGTTTTCCAAATATTTTAGATAAAAATAAAAGAAGAGATAAAGAAGTAGCTATCTTTAATGCTGTTTCTAAAAATGTTATTGGACTTCATTTTAAACTTGCTAAACAAACAACTTCAACTAAAACTCTTAAATTAAAAATTTATAAAGAATTAGGTCCATTTAATAAAAATGGAGTTATTTTGTTTGGAACAAAAGTTACTGCAAATTTAATGAATCGAAATCCTTATGGTAGGTGTTCTCAAAGAGCTTTTATAGAATTAAAAGGATATGATGAAGAGATTGTAAATATATTTCATTCTGTGTGTAATATGAAAGAAAATGTTATTGAAAATTATTTAGTAAAATGTCCAGAATTATTTCAAACTTATTTAAAACCAGAAATAGATTTTTATCAAAAAGATAATGAAATTATTAGAAATACTCCAAATTCTGAAGAATTTTGTTTTCGTGGTGTTTTTAAATTTTGTAGTGAACATTTATATTCAACTGAAACCGCTTCATGGTTTACTTCAGAATGATCTCTAATTTTTTTTTATGTACATTGACTTTTCATTTAAAAGTATTTATCTTCTTGGTTTTTATGGAAAAATAAACATTCATTTTTTTTTTTTGAAATTATGATTATTCATTCTTTAATGAAGATGGCACGTCAGAGACACCACATGAAACCCTAAAATAATCCCATGCTTCGAATCTCCCAGTTATCGTCTGGTTATGACGTGCCTTTGGTGAGATAATATCTATTCAAAACTAACTGTTTATTATTATTAATATTTATTAGGAGTGATTATTATAAAAGATTAATATTCATTGAGGTGTATTGTTATTCATTGAGGTGTATTGTTATTCATTGAGGTGTATTGTTATTCATTATTAATTATAAGGATTATTATTTACTAAGGAGGTATTATGTATTAAGAATTATCATTTATTAAAGAAGACGCATATATAATTGATATTGTTGCACAAAAATTAAACATAAGGATATTATCAAGGAATAGGGTTTCTTTAAGGGGTGTCGAAGGTAAAAGGAGATGAGCTATAACAGTAAGTTATGGATATACTCTCCTTAAAACAACAATATAAAGAATGAGAAATATTATATTACTCATTAAAATCAAAATAAAAGTCAGGCAGCAACTTAAATGAGGAACCATTTAAGTCGAGCATGCTTGCAAAAACTTTATTTCAATAGAAATAAAGCGTGTTGAAGAAACTGATTCGCTCACTTCTCAACATGATGAAAAACCTAAAAATAAGGTTAATCATAATTGATTTCTTTTTTTTTTTTTTTTTTTTTTTTGATTATTCATTCTTTAATTAAAAATCTTTTTTAATAATATTTTTAGTTCATATAAAAAAACTACAATTGATAAAAACAATTTAAAAAACAAAACAAAAATAATAATAATAATGTTATATAAAACAGATAAATTATTAAAACACATTAAAAAAGAACTTTATAAATTTAGTTTTAATGAAATCACATACTCAATATGATTTTAATGAGTTAATCAAAAATTATTTATTAGAATGGACGAATAGTTATGACTATGAAAAGTTATATGTTAATATGTCAAAAAGTAATCAAACACGAACAGCAAAAGAATTTAATGAAGCTATTGAAGGAAAAGATAGATTAGTCTTTATTATTGAAAGTTCAAAAGGAAATGTATTTGGAAGTTATTGTGGTTCAAAAATTGAGTCAAGTACAGCTTATGTTTGGGATGATCCTAATCATTTTGTATTTACATTAAAAAATAATGTTGATATTAAACCTAAAATATATAAACGACGAGTTGATGGGATTTTACCTACGTTATGTTTATGGTCAAATGAAAATCAAGAAAATGTATTTTCTGTGCCAGGATTATGTTGGATCACAAATGCATTTAAACCAAGTTTAGTTTATCGAAACTTTAGCAATATTTATAATGATAATGGAGATGGTTATGGAGTGTTTTGTACAAATGAAAATAAAATAGAGAAAAAGACTAATGCTTCATTTGTTAGCGTTAGTTCTATTCAAGTATATCGAATGAAACCTATTGGAACTTCTTTTACATTTAAATGTCATGGTAAATTTGATAAAGGATCATTAGATAGTTTCTTCAGTAAATATGGTAAATGTCATGTAGAACTTAAAGGAACAGCAGGATATGTAAGGCTAAATTTTGAAAATGCTACAGATGCAGCAAAGTGTTATCAAGATAAAGACAAATTAATTGAGAAATTTGGAAGTTACTTAGAGGTAAAGTAAATGAATATTGAAAAAGATATGTTTTTTTTTGTTATTTAATTATTTTTTAATTTTAAATAAAACCCTAAAACAGTATTTTCATCTCTCTGTTTTTCTTTATTTAAAGTGAAATGAAATTGTTCAGTAGTACAACACGTGCTACAATAAAAAAAAAAGATGAAGAAACAAAAATTAAAGAAGTGATTCCTTCTGACCTCAATACCTTTGATGGACTTGGCATTAAACAATTTTTACTTCCAACATTAAAACAATTTGGAATTATTAAACCAACAAAAATTCAACAGTTGTGTATTCCTCCATTATTATCTTTTCATAATGTGTTAGGTGGAGCTGAAACTGGTAGTGGTAAAACAGCTGCATTTGCTCTTCCTATAATTCATCATTTATCCACTGATCCATATACTGGGTTTGCTTTAGTTTTAACTCCAACAAGAGAACTTGCGTCTCAAATAGCTGACCAATTTAAAGCATTTGGTGCATGTATTAATATCAGGGTTGTTCAAGTTGTTGGTGGAGTTGATGTAATTCGAATTTTACATCACTTAAGTGGATCTCCACATGTTATTATTGCTACTCCTGGTAAATTAGTGTCATTGATTGACCATTTACCTTTCAGCTTTGACTCAGCTAAATTTTTAATTCTTGATGAAGCTGATAGGTTATTTGATCCATCGACTGGAATGCTTGATGATGTTCAAAAAATTAGGTCTAAATTTTCTAAGACGGTCACTACTGGATTATTTTCTGCAACAACAGATTCTTTGATTCCACAATTACCAGCATTAGGTCTAACTGACACTAAAATTTTAATTACGGGAGAAAAACAAAAACTTTCTGATAATTGTGATCAAACATATATATTTATACCAAATAAAGTTAAACATTGTTACTTAACTTATTTATGTATTAACAAACAGTGTATTGTTTTTTGTGGTAGTGTTTTAAGAACAGAAGTAATTTTTAGAATGTTTAAATCAATGGAACTTAAAGCAACAGTTCTACATTCTGCATTACCTCAAATAGCCCGTGAAAATAATTTAAATTCATTTAGGAGTGATGAAGCATCAATTCTTGTTGCTACTGACTTAGCTTCTAGGGGTTTAGATATTCCAGATGTACCTCTTGTCATCAACTATGATGTTCCACACACTGCTGAAGATTATATTCATCGAGTAGGTAGAACTGCAAGGGCTAATAGGAAAGGTCTTGCAATCACACTTGTCGATGAATATGAAAGTGATAGAATTCAATCGATAGAATCTCAACTAGGAATTCAGCTCAAAGAATATAAAGTTGATGAAGAAAAGGTACTAAATATTCTTACTCAAACAAGCAACGCAAAAGAAGTTGCCTTCATTTCTCTTGAAGGCAGTGAAATTTTAAAAAGAGCAGAGTTAGAAAAGAAAAAAAAGAAACAAATAAAGAAAATGAAAAAAGAAACAAAATTACAGACTGATAAATGAGTGATTGTTAATTATATTAATATGTGCATTACCTTCTATAATAATATTTGCTTTATATATATATATTTTTTTTGAAACTAATAGAATATAATGGATTAATGAAATATTTGAAAGAGTTTCTATATTCAAAAATTGTAGTAATGGTGAGTTTTATTATTTCTTAAAACAATTTTTAACAAAATGAATGAATAAAAAGCAATTAATTAAGTATTAATAGAACTAGCTTCTATTGTTCCTGGCTCAATGGAGACTAATCCCGTCCCTTCGTCTTCTTCTTCTTCTAGTATTTCTACTGAGTGTGTTTGGTTGTGATCTCCGCAGTATTCCATGACATTTATCATGTTTTTTATGACAAGGTTTTTAAATTCTTTCTCGATGTCAATATCAATTTTTATTTCTTTAATTAATTTAATACTTTCTTTATTTATTATTCCATTGATTGAGATTACTACTGGAATTATTTTGTCATCTTTTAATTTCTCTATCTTCATTAGCCTATTCTTTAATTCCTTATACTTATTTCTTTTCTTCAAATAGGCTCCATTAATATTGTGATCAGCCACAATAGTCATATCAAATAATAGACTAGTTTTATTCTTTTTATCTATTACATATATATCTGGTATTTTGTGATATTGTCCATCACTTTTAGGCATTATTTGTTTGTTCAATATCATCATGATGTCTTTATATTTGAACACTGTTTCATATGGAGGTTTTATATTGTTTATTGAATGTATATTTTCTTATTAATCAATATTATAATGCCAACATTGTCATGTTTTTCTATTTGTGATTTTTATGACCAATACAAGATAGTAGAATGTGTTCTACTGTAGCTATCTTGTCTTTACAAAGTGTTGAGTATTTCAATCTTTCATTTTTCATTATTTTTGATTTTCTATACCCACAGAATATTGCTCCATCTTGCATTTTAGTTAATTGAAGAAATACATTCTTTTTAATATTGAATGACTTCCATGCTTTCACTGTAGTAGTTTTATCTACTCATTTTGACTCGAACCATCTTCTAAAGTGTCCACTTGTTTAATGACACTTCCATTTTTTGATGTATTTGTCAATAATTTCTTTATTTCTACTACTACTTCTTTTTCTTTTTTCTTTTCTATCCCTTCATTTATTATTTCTTCTATTTTTGTTTCATTGATTTTATGAATTATTGTTTTTTAATTCTATTCCATATTCCATTCTTACTGTACCATCTATCTAATATGTTATTTCTTATTTCACTTTCTCTGGTACAGTAGTACATCACTGTTCTTACTAATTCAATAACATATTCGTCATTTATATTTATTAATCATTTATTTCTTCTATAATGACATACAACCGATCTTTGGAGTTTCACCATTGTATTTTGCCTTTCTTAAATATTTTCTTATCTCCAAATCAATTTTATCTAAGTGATTTTCCAATTTACAACTGATGCTGAATATCTGAAGATATTGATTACTTTCGTGTTTATTCTAGGAATATATCTTCTATTACTACTTTCATCAGTGTTTATTTCTTCCCTTTCGAAGAAAATAAAAAAAACAAAATAAAAAAACTTATTACTAAAAAAGGAATGAATAAAAAAAAGAAATATTTCATTTTAAATATTTTTCGTTTTTTATAACACTTAATGATTAAAGGTGATTCGATACATCAGTTCTTTTAGAAAAAACAATTTGTTTAATTCTGTATTATATGAGTGTTATTGTAGTAAAGGATATTTAAATAATAAAAACAAACGTATTAACTTTATTGTCAAATTCCGGGAGTAATAAACAAA